CAGCAGCAGAATATTGATCGGATGTGATTTCTTCAGGCTGTGGGTGCAGACTGGTGAGAAAACAGGGGAGCTGTGGAAAGGGTGTGGCATGGATAAGAAAGAGGGTCTCCCCTTTAAAACAAAAAGTCCACTAACTGAGATAAACCATCATTCCTTTTAATTAGATACAATGACTGCCTTTTATTGTGTCCATTTAAGTTTAATATACTTTAACTGTACATGTAATCCATATAGGGCCTCACAGTCTTGTCACCCATCCAGCCTTTCAGCAACAATTGCAGTCTGCTCCAATATACCTTCATGGCCCATTACTCTCCCTGCTTCATCATCTCCTTTTGTTTTACAGCTGATCATTTTGTACAGACAGCATATGCTTAAGTAGGACCCCTCTTAACCCTGGTATTAATATATAGTTTGTAGAGCAGCATGAACAATGGCCCATATTTTACAGGATACATTATTATGTTGGTGATGCCCCGCTGACAAGGGATTTTCTTTTTGTCAGTGTCTGCCCCTCTCCTAACCAAATTAGGGGAAGGGTGGGGGAGGAATGGAGGAAACAGCTGATGCACAGTGGGTGAAGTCATTGGGTTCTCAACTGACTTAATGTACAAATGCAGTAATGTCTCAGTTAAAAATCTACAGGACATTAATGCAACATATAAGAATAATCGAGCCTCACAAGTCGCATCACAAATGCCAACTGCAGTAAACAGTTTCTATGTGCTCTATTGGCCTGTTGAATTAAAGTTAATGCAGTACATAAGGCTCCATTGTACAAAATGAAATATCATTTGTGCTTTGTGTTTGTCCATTGTTGTGTTACTGGTGGCCCGGCAGGGAGGACCCACATTTGTTTCCATTCCCTCAGGACTCATTGATTCAGATGTCCAGTGGATATGATTGACAGAGCTGCTGAGGGAATGTTTTGTGGTGAATTAGGTCAGGGTGTGGCATTGCTTTCCTGCTTATTGTCCCCATTCTTTCTCTTTGATTATTTTCACTCTTTACTGAAGGCTTATCCATCGCATCACTGTCAACTCTTTGTCATCTTCTCTGTCTTTTAGCTGTTCCCTTTTTTCCGCTCTTAGTTCTGTTGCTCTGTGGTCTCCCTCATATTAAGGTCACTTGGTCATTTTTGCTGTACATGGCCTTATTTTAATGTCATGATACTCTGTCTGTAGCTGACTCCCAATCTCTTAAGTACTGAGCTGCAATACAGCCTGCTTATCCTGATTACTCTAAATCTGCCTATTGCTGCTGTAAGCACAAAATCACATGCTGTATGAGCAAAAAAAATGTCTGTGTTGAAAGATAATAGATAATATGGCCATGCAAATGGCTGCCTGTGTATGCAACAGTCACATCTACTTTTGGGATTTAATACACAGACTTTTAAAGATCTGAGTGTGGTCCTTTAAAAAGCAAACAAGACTTGAATACAGATCTGAAGACAATCAGTGTCTTCAGTGCATCACAACTGCCTGTGAATAGAGGTCATGTTGAGTTTTGCTGGTAGACTCATCTGAGGCCCCTTTGTGCTCTCTCTCCTTTTCATTTGACATCTGAAAGAACTGCTTTCTGCTAGGTCCTCAGACGGCAGCAATGGAAATATTCAGCTGCCATGTATGAATTGAGTTCAGATATGGTTTTGTTACAGGGGGAAAAATCCTGTCATTTTCAGCAGGGCCCCAAAAAATAGTAAACTCACGGCTGTTTTTCTCGTTTAAAGTCCCTGGTCCCATGAACCGCACTGCTAATGGATAGATGCATACTTTCTTTTACAAGTAACCATGCCATGCGATACATTCCATTTTCTGTTTCTAGTTCTGGGAAGTGATCAGCGATGAGCACGGCATCGACCCCACAGGGACTTACCATGGAGACAGTGACCTGCAGCTGGACAGGATCAGTGTTTACTACAATGAGGCCACAGGTTAGTTGTTTTCTTATCATGTGATTTATACATAAAGGTTGAACTGTGGGTACATAATTTCTGCTTGGTCATTTCATGCTGAAGTATAACATTAGATGTACTATTCTCGTGTCTCCTGTCATGTGAGAATGTTTTTCACACATTAAATATCCAGTGTAACATTCAAAAATGTGGTTTCCTGCATTATTGAGCTTTCTGCTTTTTCTCCTCTGTTTTTCCTCTGTCTCCCTGTCGCCTCTCGTCCTCTACCTCATGGAGGAGGTAAATATGTTCCTCGGGCCATTCTGGTGGACTTGGAGCCTGGCACCATGGACTCAGTGAGGTCTGGACCCTTTGGGCAGATCTTCAGACCTGACAACTTTGTTTTCGGTAGGTGGAATAAAGACACTTCTTGTGTCACTGAATGACTACGGCCTTTTATAAACGGGGAAAGAGAATGGTTCACATGCATGTCACTGCTTCCCCTCCAGGTCAGAGCGGTGCTGGAAACAACTGGGCTAAGGGTCACTACACAGAGGGAGCTGAGTTAGTGGACTCAGTCCTGGATGTGGTCCGCAAAGAGTCAGAAAGCTGCGACTGCCTGCAGGGCTTCCAGCTCACCCACTCTCTGGGTGGTGGAACTGGATCTGGTATGGGAACCCTTCTCATCAGCAAGATCCGTGAGGAGTACCCTGACCGTATCATGAACACATTCAGTGTGGTGCCTTCCCCCAAGGTAAAGTCCCTTTGTGAAGGCGTATGAGATGTTTTGGTTTATAATTTTAGTTCTTCTTGCCATGGGTCTCTTTTCTAAGATCGTGAGACTGAAGAAATCATGTGTGTTTTCTGTCCTCAGGTGTCCGACACAGTGGTTGAACCTTACAATGCCACCCTGTCAGTCCACCAGCTTGTGGAGAACACAGATGAAACCTACTGCATTGACAATGAAGCTCTGTACGACATCTGCTTCCGTACTCTCAAATTGACCACACCCACTTACGGAGACCTTAACCACCTGGTGTCCGCCACCATGAGTGGGGTCACCACCTGCCTGCGCTTCCCTGGTCAGCTCAATGCTGATCTCCGCAAACTGGCTGTCAACATGGTGCCTTTCCCTCGTCTGCACTTCTTCATGCCTGGTTTTGCCCCCCTGACCAGCAGGGGCAGCCAGCAGTATCGTGCCCTCACAGTGCCCGAGCTCACACAGCAGGTGTTTGATGCCAAGAACATGATGGCAGCATGCGACCCACGTCACGGCCGCTATCTGACCGTCGCCGCTGTGTTCCGTGGCCGAATGTCCATGAAGGAGGTTGACGAGCAGATGCTCAACGTGCAGAACAAGAACAGCAGTTACTTCGTTGAATGGATCCCCAACAACGTCAAGACCGCTGTCTGTGACATTCCACCCCGTGGCCTCAAGATGGCCGTCACTTTCATTGGCAACAGCACGGCCATCCAGGAGCTGTTCAAGCGCATCTCTGAGCAGTTCACAGCAATGTTCCGTCGCAAGGCCTTCTTGCACTGGTACACAGGTGAAGGTATGGATGAGATGGAGTTCACCGAAGCTGAGAGCAACATGAATGATCTGGTGTCTGAGTACCAGCAGTACCAGGATGCCACTGCTGAGGAGGAGGGTGAATTCGAGGAGGACGCTGATGAGGACGCCTGAAGACGAAGATCTGACGGTCAAGACATCAAATTCAAAATGAAAAATAATCAAAAGGAAAAATCCACAAGACTAATGAAGGAACCAACATAGTGTTAAGAGCAGTGCTAGAACTACTACAGCTTTAGCGTATGTTAGATACCCTTTGTCATTCACTGCTAATAAAGTTGTAAAAAAAAAACGTGTTTTCCTTTTCGTTAATGTGTGCATACGTGTTTCTGTGGGTTTATGGAATGAGGGAGTCATGACCCTGCAGTGTGATCAAGTGGTAACTAAATAACAGATGGAGTAGATCATCTGTAGTGCTTACAGGTGCAATGAGGCCTCAGAAAAAAATGCAGCTGCTAGGCCCATATTCACTTCACACAGATCCCAAGGTTGTCATGTGTTTATTTGATTAAACCCACTTTGTTAGTACTAGACAACATTTTAAAAGGTAACATAATTACGATGCTCCTGAACTGTGGACACAAGGACCCTTTTCATTTGACAACACTTTGGCAAAAACAGCAAAAAAAAACATACAGTGGTGTCATCCACATGATCTAGGGCTAGACATTATAATTCAACCCTAAACAGCATTATTTACACCATGTTTTTAGCCTAAATATCCGCAGTTTTCCTCCTAGTTAATGCTGACAGTAGAAAGTATTCACGAGTTGCAGTATGGAGGCAATTTTATGGTTTTCATTCTGTTTTCTTATGTTTGAAGAAGGGGTCCCATTTTCTTCAATTGTATTATATTTGGTCACAACGCTGTTTACCCCTGAAACTCCAAATGTGTTGTGGACTCAAACACTTCACATGCCCCTCCATCAGCATAGTGGTGAGATGATAATGAGTGAATTTTCATTTTTGGGTGAACTATCCCTTTAAAGCCCACATTAAACAACTTTACATCGATGAATTGTGTTTTATTTATTTTCATGTAAATAAGAAAACAGAGGGCTTGGGGGATCCGGGTCCCCCTGTGGTTCTGAGACCCAGGATGGGTAAAGCATGTTTTCTCTGGAGCAGCAAGAAAATGAAGCCTCAGGACAGAGAAATGAAAGAAAATCACTTCAGACCACTGAATAGTAACTATTGTTGGAAGTATCTGTCAGCTAACTTCTTGCAATTATGATTTATACAAACGTTTATATAGCCCGTGACTGTTATCCCTTCTTTTAAGCATTTAAAATCATATTGGATCAATTTAAACAATGAATCGACTTGATCCAGTTTTTCTTTACGGTCCCTTTAAAATTAAGTGGGTATAGCGGGAAAAAGACAGTATCAACCAATCACGCTTCAGGCAGCTTTATCCAATCACAGACATTTTAAACTAGCCTCGGTGTCGCTATCCAATGGCAACAGATTTCAGTGTGAGTGGCGTTCATACTATCCAATCGCTAGCGGCTAAAACGCCTCACATGGGCGTTGTAAAGTGTTTTCCAGGAAGTGAATGCTCCATTATGTGTTTATAAGTGTTTTATATTCTCGGACCGAGACGAGCAGTGTGAAGGTGGGCTGCAGGGTACTGTGTTTTATTTATTAGACGACTCCAGCAGATGATAACATGAAAAACGTGCACGCTGCTAACGAACACATGAGCTAATCTGTCAAGCTACTTGTTCAGTCTCGTAAACTTCCTCTTTGAGTTGTGTGGTTGTTTATACAGATAGCAATAGTTTTAAAAGTAGAAAGATACCAATTTCGTCTCAGTGGCCATTAACATTAACTTATATAAAGAGTCGTTTAAAGATGGCGTTTACGTGTGAAGTAGCCAAACTAGCGGTTATTAAGTATTTTCCGTTGTTTTGTTTTTATCCTGACCGGAAGTTGGATAGCTGTGAACTGATGGGATCTGACAAGAAATGTTGACACAGTTAAAACAAAAGTTATATCCGCGTGTCTTCACATTATTTAGATACAAAACCTAATATTAGCAATTATACAACAGATAAATATTAAATAGCACAGGCTCGAAGCTAGAGATCATCAGTTAGCTGTCTCGGCTAACGTTGCTTGCACAGTTATTTTGACGAGATCACCAACTGGAAACGTTGTTGGGTTTACACGTCAACATTACACGTACTTGTTTGTGTCTGTGCTCAGCAGTGATCTTATCGGACCCTGTGTGAAGAATGGAGGCTACACAGGTGATCTCTGACTCATTCCTGGAGTCAGATGAGGAAGAAAATGAAGAGGAGGATGATAATAAGAGGGGTCAGCCATTGGCTAAACTGTGCATCTTAAAAAACGAGCACGTCCCTGAGACAGGTGAGTGATCTACTGCTGCTTTTATCACAAGGTTGTTTGCTGATATAATCTATGGGTCTTGTTTATGTTCTTCTTACAATGGATGTTCTCTGTCACTCAGAGTTGCCCCTCTTTTTGGGAGTTAATGTCCTGGGCCGTGACCTTAACGCCTGCAGCCTGCACCTGCCAGCACCTTCAATATCCAAGCAGCACCTGACCATCAGCATCTCTGTCTTCAGCAGAAGAGGTCATAGCAGTAAAGAGGATGTAGAGGCTTTGGTTTGGGACCTCGGGAGCATGAATGGGACCCGCAAAGGCCGTTTAAAGCTGACGCCTAACGTACGCTATGCCCTCAATGATGGTGACAGTTTGGTGGTGGCAGACATCCCATGTCAGTATGTCAGCTGCACTGTAGAAGCAATCTCTTCCCTAAAGGGCATGAGGACTTCTGTGAGCAGAAATACGGGTGTAAAGGCTGGTTCACCGGATGTCTCTGGAAAAAAGGAAGATGACAAAAGCACAGACAGCAAGAAATGTGAAAATGGAGACAAAAAGGCAAGAGTGGCATCAACTGAGACTCCTGTCAGGGCCAGTTGCCTCTCCTTAGAGCAAACTCCAACCCAGCCACAGGGGACCCTGGTCCCAGAATCTGACTTGGACTCAGATGGAGAAAGAGACGGAGGAGGCAGAGGGCGTAAGACTTTAGGTATGTATATTCTGTATGTTTAATATTAAGCTCTGTTTTGTGTCTGATGTTCTACAATTTTATCTTTATTGTCTCTACAGTGTCTGATTCTGACTCCCATAAATCTAGTCCTGCTTGTTCCACATTCTTGAGTCCCACAAACAAAATTGTCCCTGAAAGGTATCTTAGCAACACTTTTTTGAGCTTTGCTAGTCTCTGTAAATATATGCTTTTATACAGTTTTCTTTTATTCACAAATAACCATGCTTGTCACCTCTGTTTTCCACTGTCTGACAGTGAGGATGAAAGTCCTATCACACCATCCTCCTCCACTAAAAATAGGCCATACAGACATGTCAGATTCAGCAAGGAAGAGACAGAAGTAGATGTGGCTGGACAGCGGCTGGAGGAAAAAAAGACACTTGCGATCGTGGATGACAGTGAAGAAGACGAAGGAGGAGAGAAAGAACACACTCTGTCTGTTCTTTCTCCGAAGTCTAAGGAAAGTGGACAACATGTACCAGCGACACAGGAAAGAAATGTCAGTTTTATGGGAGATGATGAGTTGCCTGTCTCTACATCAACAGTCACAAAAGATGTGATCGTTGTATTAATCATGGACAGTGGCAATGGTGTGGAGGGACAGGAGGAAGGGGTGGCATCTGCAGGTCCTGTGAACTTGAACATAAACCAAGTCAGTCAGCCACCAAACACTGCCATCTTTCACATGGACAGTGATACAGATGTCGATGAGGATGAAGATGCCTTGGACAAAGTTCTTAAAACTGTGATTTCCTGTGATGACAGTACCAAACTTTCTCATGTTAACTCAGTTATTCAGCCTGAGGGAATTACTATGGACAGTGACACTGATGTGGATGACGATGCTGCTGTGTCAGACACTGCCACAAAAGCAAAGCCCATGTCAGTTCAGAGTGCATCCACAGCTGACTCTGCTCCTTTAATGCAACCAAAAGATTTCCGCCTTGACAGTGACACAGATGTTGACGATGAAGACGAAAGGAAATGTGGAACAAATGAATCAAGCTCTAAAATAGACACATTTTCCATTAAATTGGCCACAACTCCAGCTGGGCCTGAATCTGCCGCTGTTGCTCCTCATGGCCTACATTTCGACAGTGACACAGATGAAGAAGAGATCCCTGCCCCTACACTCAATGAATCCCCAGTGGTGTTTGCTGCAGACAGAGGGGTTGCTATTCTGTCTGACAGTGACACAGACGTGGAAGACGATTCGCCTCAGGTTATGTCTCAAGCTGTCACAACCTTGTCTGCCTCTCCTGGTACCAAGCCAGCAGCTCTTGAGTCAGATTCGGATGCAGACACAGATGTGGAGGGGTCAGGCCAGAACGGATCCAAACCAACTGACCTCAGATTGGACAGTGATACAGATGTGGAGGATAAGGAGGTAGACATTGACGAGGCAGGTGATGACCAGATCCCTAATTTAGGCGAAGAAAACGCATCTCGGCTGATGGTTCCTCTTCTGCAGAACTGCTCTACTCCTGTACAACTGTCAGGTAATTAATGAACACATTTTAAAATTAGAACTTAATGGAGTGAATGTAGGATACAACTAATGATTATTTTCATTATGTATTATGAATCAGAAAAAAATAAGAATATATGTCTAGAAATAGGTTCAAATTCTTGTATATGAATAACTGGAAAGGAGAGATTCTTCACTTCACTGAAGTGAAGTCACAGTTTTTGATTTGAAGACACACTATGACCTTCTTGATCCACTGTATACATTATTTAATACTTTTGTTTTTAACATTTGCATTTAAGCATGTTTAAATTGTCTGAATTTTGTTTTTTTGACTTTGGGATGGTCCCAGAAGGAGAGGTGGAAAATATGGCTACTCAGGCTTTCGTAAGTCCCTCTTCAGTTCCATTTAGGGGTGAGTCAATTATTTTTTTAAAAGCACGTATCCTTGTTCTATGACAATGTATACCAGAAAGTTCCACAAGTATCTTTTTCTGTCTTCTCTGTTTGCCAGGTGCTGCAGGCCCTGCTGTAAGACCTGTAGCATTGTCATCCTGCTCAGACAGCCAGGAGGAAGAGGACTTTCTGGTGGCTGAGACGCAGTCCTTCATTCTTCAGACCCGAGATTTCCAAAACAACCCTCCACAGGACCATGCCATGGACCCCACCCAAGCTTTTTGCCTTGAAACTTCTGATGATGAAACGGATCAACCGTCCAGCAGAGACAGGTCTTTTCAGCTGGGATTGTCTGAAAGCAGCCACCGACAGTGTCAGGCCCAAGCTCTAGCCATGGAGAACACCCAGGCATTTGTGGAAAGGAGTGTGAATATGGAAGATACCCAAGCATATGCAAATACCCCAACAGCAGATAGAACCTTTGCAGACAATGATGCAAATATGGAGGCTACACAGGCCTATGGAGAGGATGAGGAGCCTGACAGATGTCCTGAAAAAGAAGATCGGACAGATTTGGTTCTAGAAGCAACACAGGCATATATTTCAAAGTCAGAAAGTGATTCAGAGAATGAGATGGATGAAGATGAGAGCAAAGATATTACTGCTACTGCTGAGACTCAGCCTTTTGGCTTTACTACTTCATGTACTCCTTCCATGGCTGAAACCCAACCAATATCTGCCTTTGAGGAAGAGGAGAGTGTGGCAGAAGAGAGTGAGGAACATAGGAAGACAATTAAACCTCAGCAAAGAATGTCTGGTGAAGTTTTATCAGTAGCTCAAACTCAGCCCATGAATGCATGTGGTAATGAAGAAAGTGATGATGAAGAAGAGGAGCAGACACAGCCTCTCATTGGTTCAGGTTTATTAGGTGCTGAAACTCAGCCCATGGCTACAAGTGATGATGAGGACTTAATTCCAGGCCCACGAAAAAGAAGAGCGAAGCAACTGTCTGAAGAAGAGGGGACGCAAACACTCACAAACTCTGAGGTCTCTACAGTTGTAATTCAGACAGTGGATGCAGGTGAAGGTGGGGAAAGTGGTGAAGAAGAAGAGGAGCAGACACAGCCTCTCACTGGTGCAGGTTTATTAGTTGCTGAAACCCAGCCCATGCACGTTGGTTGTGCTGAAACTCAGCCCATGGCTACAAGTGATGATGAGGACTGGATGCCAGGCCCACAAAAAAGAAGAGCGAAGCAACTGTCTGAAGAAGATGGAACGCAAACACTCACAAACTCTGAGGTCTCTGCAGTTGAAATTCAGACAGTGGATGCAGGTGAAGGTGGGGAAAGTGATGAAGAAGATAAGCAGACACAGCCTCTCACTGGTGCAGGTTTATTAGTTGCTGAAACCCAGCCCATTCACTTTGGTTGTGCTGAAACTCAGCCCATGGCTGCAAGTGACGATGACGACTTGATGCTAGGCCCACGAAAGAGAAGAGCAGAGCAACTGTCTGAAGAAGAGGAGACGCAAACACTCACAAACTCTGAGGTCTCTGCAGTTGAAATTCAGACAGTGAATGCAGGTGAAGGTGGGGAAAGTGATGAAGAAGACTCGATTACAGTTTTTAGAGGAAGACGAGCAAAAGCACTGAAACTTGAGGAGACGCAATCCCTCTCTGGTAGTCTATGCTCCGAAACTCAGCCCATGGGTGGATGTGAGGGTGAGCAAAGTGACGAAGACGACTCAATTCCTGGCCCACGAAAAAGAAAAGCAAAGCAACTTCTACTTGAAGATGAGGACACACAGCCTCTCACTGTTGGAACTCAGCCAGTGGAAATGGTTGAAGATAAGGAAAGTAATGATGAGGACTTGTTTCCAGGTCCAAGAAAAAGAAAGGCAAAGGCTCTGCAACTTCAAGAGGAGGAGTCACAAACGCTTTCAAGTTCTGAGGTCCCTGCTGTTGAAAGTCAAGTGACACAATCTGAAGCTGGAACCAGTGGAATCAGTGTTAGAGATAAACAAGGGTCAAGGGCAAGAATAAGAGAGGAGGAAGAACAGACAGAGTGTTCAGAATCTCCAAAGAGACAGACGAGAGGGAAGAGTAAAGCTTTGCCAACTACCAGAGGAAGAGGGGGAAAATCCGGGCCTGATCGGGATGAAAGTGAGGTAGAGGAGGTAGAGCAGGGTAGGAGAACAAGGGGGAGAACGTTTACAAGGAAGCAGAAAGACGATGAAGAAGATGGAGAAAAGTGTGAATTTGAAAGAAATAAACCTGTTGAAAATGGCAAGCGAATAAAGAAAAAACTAAAAGGATTGGGAGAGGAGAGAGATGTTGCAGACGTAAGAGATAAAGAGAGAAAAAAGAGGGAGATAGAGGAAATAGAGAGATGTATAATGGAAGAAAAAATCAAAAAAGAAAATAAGGAAGAACAAGAAAGATTGAATGCTGAAAACATAGAGAGGATAAGACTCGAACAGGAAAAAGTAGAGAAAGCGAGACAGGAACAAGAAGAAAAGGAAAGAGCTGATCGAATACAAAAAGAGAAAGAACAGTTTGAGAAGAAAAGAGATAATGATGAAAAGGAGAGATTGGAACGTGAAAAGGCAGAACGAGAAGAGAGAAAGAAATTGGAAAGGGAAAGAAAGGAGCAGGAAGAAAGAGAGAGATTGGACAGAGAAAAGAGGGAATTAGAAGAGAGACTTGAGAGGGAGAGGAGGGAAGAAGAACACCAAGAAAGACTGCAGAGGGAAGAAAAGGAATGGGAAGAAAGAGAAAGACTGGAGAAAGAAAAAGAGGCCAAAGAACAACAAGAAAACAAATCTAAAGTGCGTATGAGAGGTCGAGGAGCAACGAATAAAGCTACTACTGCTGCATGTTCAACAGAGCAAGACTCAGCTATATTAGCAGATGATGATGTCCCAGCGAGGAGAACCAGATCTCGCTCCAACTCCTCTAACTCGATCAGCTCTGAGAGATCTGCGTCAAGTATCAACACCCAGCAGGGCCGCGGGAGAGGTCGAGGCAGAGGAGCAAAAAGAACCAGCGAGCCACCTAAGACAGTCGTCGTCAGAAGCAGCAACAGGAGGAGGACGGTGGCTGCAGAGACAACAGAGCAGGACAGTAATGATAGCTGCAGTGTGAGATCTCAAAGCAGAGGAAGAGGAGGCAGGCAGCGAGGAAGACCAAGGATAACAGAGGCTGTGCCAGACTCTATCCCTTCTATCAATAGTCAGAGTGATCAGAATTCTGCTCCCAAACCTGCAGCCAGAGGTAGGAAGGGCAGGAAAACTGAGCCATCCTCTAGTGCAGTTCCTCAGGAAGATGATAAAGAGAAGGCAGACTCACAGCATACTCGTACCACAAGGGGACAGCGCAGAGCCACGACAAACATCTCTGAATCAACTGCTGCAGACGAGGATAAGCAGTCCAATCAGGACGAAGGTCACGGCAGTGAGGAATCACGTCTTCCTGAGAGGAATGTCTGGGGCAGAGCCCAAAAATCAGCAGCTTCTGCAGCCAGCAATGGAGATGAAGCGAAAGACAAAAGACAAGAAAGGAAGAGAGAGCTGGGGCCAAATAAAGAGGAGGATTCTCACAGTAGCGCCAACATTTCTAAAGTAAAAGGGAAAGTCCAAGCAGTAGAGACAACACAGGAAGAAGGAAAAGATGAAACTAAAGATGAGAATCCTGTCCAAGCTAAGAGGAGAGGTAGAGCATCTAGTGCTCAAGTCAAGAGGGATGCAAAGGAATCTCCTTTTGAAGTAGAGGGGAAAAATGTGAGTGAGAAAGTAGAGATTGGTGAGAAGAGGGGCAGACGTCGACCATCAGTCGTCCAGAAGAATAGGAAAGAGGAGCAGGAAGAGAGTGGAACTTCTGCCAATTCCCTGACACAGGAGGCTAAAGTACAGACTCCAGAGGTGACTTTCACTTTTAAACATGAAATGAAAATGAATGAAATTAAATTTAAAAGTCAAGTTGTTATTTTTATTAAAACACATTAAGGCTGAAACACAAATTGGAGAAAACATAGTAGCAGAGTGTCCAGTAACTTCTGTCCTTGAAAAATGAGGCTTTTACCTCGGACAAAGGCCCTGGTGCATTTCTCTCTGTGACTCAGCCTTTCCATCAAAATGTACTGCGATCAACATCAGGGACTCTCTAAGTCTCTCCCCACTCTCTTTGCAACAAGAGTAGCCTGACTTGCTGTGCATCAACATTAATACACTAATAAATTAAGAGGCTTAGTGATCACACAGCCAATTCCCAGTCTTATGTTATATGGCTTCTTTACTCTGCTCACCATTCTCCTAGTGTGTTTTCACCATGTTTTTCTTCATCCTTGCATAACCTTGTTGTTTCTCTCTTTACTCCCCCTCACCCCCATTTTTCTCTCTTTTAACAGCCACAGACTCCGACCAGCAGAGTATCCCGGAAGCGACAGGCTCCTGTGGACTCCTCCCCTGTGGCAAAGACTCCTCGCTCCTCCTTGTCTTCCCCTGCAGCTAGAGGTCGACTACAAGCTGCGAGTCAGGCCTACAAAGTCAGTTTGTGTATCTGTGTTTGTCTCTTTGATAAACCTGTGGGCGTTTTTGACAATCAAGTTATGCACAAGTGGGATAATTGTAAATATTTGAATGAATACATATTTGAAAATGAGATGGAAAAAATTGAGGCCACTCTCATATCTTAAGTATAGAGCTAGAGCCAGATTGTGATTAACCTAAATTAGCACTGATATTGGAGCCAGGGGGGACAGCTAACCTGGCTTTCTCCAAATTTCAAAAACACACCTACTGCTACGTCTGATGTTTTGAGCAATCCTCACACAATGTCACATGTCTCTGTAAACTCATATTGAAGTCAAAAAACAATTTTCTAACAGTGGTTTTAAGACATAACTCCTCGTAAAAAGCAAAATTTGACATTTTAGTTTGTCGAGGGGATCTTTCTGCATACATTTCTGACCTTTGGACAGAGCCAGGCTACCTGTTTCCCCCTGTCTCCAGTGTCAATGCTAAAATAGGCTAATCACCTCCTGGCTCTGGCTTCATATGGAACTGACAGAATTGTCTTGGCATGAAAATTAATAGGTGCATTCCCCAAAGTATCACACTCACACGTTTAATCCACATCTGCAGAGTTGAACAGTTCTTTGTGGTTTGTGCAGTCATTGAAGCTTTGACCCGAGATGCGTCTGTCATTCCCTCAGGTGCTGTTCACAGGCGTGACAGATGAAGCTGGGGAGAGAGTGCTGGCTCGTCTTGGAGGCAACATGGCTAAAGGTGTGGCAGACATGAACTGCCTGGTGACTGATAAAGTGCGCAGGACTGTCAAGTTCCTTTGTGCTGTGGCCAAAGGAATCCCAATTGTCACCACATGCTGGTTGGAAAAGGTTAGTTACTGTATGAAGAGTTTATCCCAGACTTGTGTTTTTTTTTCTCCCCTTGATAATATAATATGGACATGTACTGCACACACTAATACAGAGATATACTCACCTAGACGCTGTCCTGTCATGTTGTTTCAGAGCGGTAAAGCTGGGAGCTTCCTGTCACCTCATGCTTTTGTTGTGAAGGATCCGGAGCAGGAGAAGAAGTTTGGTTTCTGCCTGCAGACTTCTCTGACAGTTGCCAGCAGTCACACTCTATTACAGGTACTCCAACTCATTCATCCTATGTATTTCTGAGCTTGACAGTGAGAGGCTGACAGTGTGTCAGCATTGTGCTTTCCTTGGAAAATGGTTTAGGGATGGTGGGTAATATTGACTCTTGAGCAATAGTGAGTCATGGTGGGAATCCAGAAGTGTTATGAGAAGAATCATCCATTTCCTGTAACACATCTTATTGTCTTTTAGCTCAGTGTCTATGTTGTTGAGGGTGCTCACATCATTACAAGATGACAGTGTTGATTGTTTACTGTTAAAGCCTACAGGACATAATTTGTCATTTACTTTCAATGTCGTGGTTTTATGGGCACTTCACATGTGGACGCAGATGGTAATGTTTCAATTTCTGTTACACGTTCTCCTGCACTGTCATCAAAACTGCCAAGGGATTGTTACCACATATTCTCGTGACAAATCTAGAATTAGGAAACAGTATACATGTGTGATACCATAATCCAAGAGTATTGATTTCCTGAGGCATTTTTGCACAGATTCAATTAAAAACAGAAAAATCTAATTTGTTAGGATTTTGTTCACTTCCCTCCTATTCTCCTAGGGATATGAGATCCACGTTACAAAATCAGTTAAGCCGGAGCCAGCTCAAATGAAAGACATTATCTGCTGCAGTGGAGCAACATTTCTCCCCAAGATGCCCTCTTCTCACAAGGTACCAAACAAACATTAAACATTTCATGATTGCAATCTGTCTTCACATTGCATAATTTACCTTAAATCTAAATCCGTAAATAACAAGTTTTATTTTCTGTCATCTCAGCCTCAGACTGTAGTGATTTCCTGCGAGGAGGACTGGTCGCTGTGCGGCCCGGCCGTGTCTTCATCCCTCCGTGTCGTCACTGCCGAGTTCATTCTCTCAGGAATCCTTCAGCAGAAAGTTGACTTTCAAACACACGCACTCTCTGCTCCTGTCACTAATGCAGGAGGCAGAGGAAGGGGCAGGAACAAGACATAGCATCAATACAGTCATGCACTTTCACAGCATATGTCAGTAAATCTGCGTAAGTGTGTGCGGTCTTATCTGTAGATACCCTTTCAAACCAGAGACCTCTTGAAGCACTAGTGAGTCAGCTGTTTGCCTCTATTAAACACTTGAAGAATGTTTTTGTCAAAAGGTGATTGTACATAAATGTAAAGACATTTTGTATATAACAGAGTGATGTGTGAAGCTTAACAAAGGGACAGGTGTCTCAGATTTTAATGTTTCAAAAATGTACTCTCGGTATACGTCTTCCCCTGCAGGTTTTAAAATGATTATCGCTGAGAGTGATGTTGCTCCTTCAAATTTAGGGTCCTTGTGGCTCTCTTCCTCCTGTGTGTTCCGCCTCTCCCTTTATACAACAAATAGAGCAGGAATTAACACGGCTAAATTGCTGCTGCTCAGTGTGCTAAGTGCTTAAACTTAATCAGCCTTTTTGGCAGGTGACCAACCATGATGCAGGGAGTTTTATAAATCATGTTGGGATGGTGGAACATTCGAACCGATGGGATGTGTTTAGAAATCCATCAGCTAAAGCGTCCAGATGATGGAAAAAAAAAAGCTTGTTTTCCCTGATAAGAAGTGCATATAGTGCCTTCTACATCTTAGTAATCATGAACTACCAGTGTATTTGTTGTTCCTATGTCTCCATTAACCACCACCACCTACTCCATTAAGGCCTCGTCCAATCCTATTACCTCCACAGATGAGATATATGCACCCGAATGCTGATGCTGCCTCTACATCAATATCTTATGATGTTTGTCCTTGCCGTGCATTCACCTACTGTCTCTTTACCTTTTAGCATGCAGCTTTGAAGGTATGTTGTATTTGTATTGTAAATGTCATTGGTGTTTTAAAAACAGACTCATTAGCTCTAGTTTTTTGAGCTTTTGCCAACTAATATCATGACATCAGTCTGTACTGTCAATGAAAATATTAAATACTTCCTTTGCCTTTAAGCATATGTTTGCATCTGTACAGACAATGTGACCTTAATTGTATAGCTGTGCCTTTGTGACTGTAAAAATAGAAACCAAAACCGAAGATCAACTTATATTAGCTTTCTCTAAGCTTTTGATGAAATTGACTTCAATCCCACAATTGCAAAGAAGTTATGTTGGGAAGTATAAGAGAGTATGTTCCATGCAAGGCCTTAGAATTTAGCATATCCCTGTTGATTTGTACATAATTTCCCTTTAATATAATCCATATGTTGTTTCCATGTTATTTTATGAGAATTACAACTCAAGATTTTAAGCCTAAATGTCCCGTGATCCTCCTCTGGAGCCGTGTTCATGTGTCGATCACAGCGGACATACAGGCTGAAAACATGGTGTAAATGAGGCCGTTTCCAGTTGATTTTAAATGTCGGGGTTTATGGACACAGGAGCAGCGCGGAGGCATTTTCTGTTGTTTTTCTACATTTGAAGAATGAGTCCTCATTTACTTCGAATGTGATTTGTTTACCCCTGAAACTCCAGAAGTGTTTTGTGGACCCACCACCTCCATCGATATCGTGGTGAGTAGATCATGAGTGAATTTTCACTATCTTTAAGATCATTGTCTTTATTTTGTATTTCCCGTTAAATCAAAATAAAATCAACCAATTTCCTCAAACCTGACCACCAAGGAAATGCTTTTATCTTGGGGTAAAAAAATTCTGAAATGATGTGATCAAAATCATTACACCAAGCAAAAGCACATAAATAACTATTCTGATATCATCTTGTGTGGACCTGACAGCTGAATAGATTGATGGATGCTCACTGTGCAGCATCAGCATCCTCTGACTCTGACCGACCATCACCTCCATCTTCTCTGTCAGAGGGACCATAGGTGGGTCGGGGGGGGGGCTGTCCGGTGTTTCCCGACACGAGTCGAGTGTCTCCGAGCGCACGAGTCGAGCCCGACATATTCTGAGCGTCCTCCAAATGTTGAGCCCGAGCGGTGAAGCGTGGCTCTTGAGGGGGCGAGGTTGGAGAAGGAGGCAGAAACCAGGCTCCGATCGCACGAACACTGACCTCTGAGTCAAACCCCACATCCCTGCAGCTGTGACCGGACTCATAGAGGTAGGTGAGCCGCCGAGAGCTGCTTTATTTCTGCCTCTAACACGTATGACGCGCGCCGATGCGTTTTCCCAAAACCAGGACCAGTGCGCCACGGGTTAAATTCTGCAGTTTTTTGGGTTGATGCGCTTGTCTGCTGTCCCGGTCCGGGGGGTGACTGCATGTTTCTGAGCTGTGAGGTTTAAAAACACATGATATACTGTCAGAGAATGGGAGAGGAGAGCTGTGGAAATATGTTCATCCTGATTACTGAGTGAACACATCAAGGATGGAGCCGTTTCACTTATTCCCCATGCAGCCTCCTGGGGAGAGTCAGGAATATCATGCAGCTTTATTCTACAGGATGCAGGATGATGATAAATGTTGATTGTAGCCTCATGTGCATGTACAGATTCAGTCCAAGGCTGTTGTTGTTTAAATTGCATATTATACAGGTTATAGTCTTATCTCATTTCCATAGTCTGCCTTAAGGAATTATAAGGAAGCTTGTATCTTCTCCTCTCTTTTCACTTAAAAGCTTAATAGCATCCATTATATGGGAGGATGCTCTTCCTGGCTGTCACCTCTGCCTGCAGTGTGCAGCTCACAGACCCATAACACCAGAGAGCATTGGTGTTTAGCACCAGACCCGATCCTGTCTGCGTTTTTTAACATGAAGCAAATCCATACCTCTTGAGCCCTTATCCCCTTTTTTAGTGGGTTTGTCACGTAGCCCCTGCACCTGCTTCCTTTTCCAATACCCATTTCTGTCCACTGATTTTATTGAATTTGACAGGTGCAGGCAATATGGTGGAAAAGTGTCAGCTGCTTTTTGTCAAACATAGACTTTCATTTGGATTTTGTCTCATCGATATTATCTGGATGGTTGAGCTCTTTCCCCCCTACCTCTTCTTTTTCTGCTGTGTGGCTCTGAAACATGAGATGAGTGAAGGTGATGCAGAGTGACGTTGGGATCATCAGAGTGGAAAATGGGAAGTTTTTTTTGAATTCTCTCAGCAAAGGGAGACTCCATGTTTGTTATTAGGTGCTGCACCTGAAGTACACACCCAGCCACTCTCACATGTGTCTCCTGGTGCAGCCCTATTTTAATGCTTCATGTTTTATGAATGTCTAGCGCTGTGGGAAGAGGGTACAGTATGTGCATCTGTGTGTGTACCAGCAGAGTAGCCAAAGCAAAACTTACTTCCTGAGCTCCAGGTTAAGGTTTGGATGCACAATGAGTGGAAGTCAATGCAAAGTCCTAATAAGGATAGCTGCACAAACCTGTATGTGTGTAAGGTCCATTTTGAGCATAGACTGGTGTGTGTGTGTGTGTGTGTGT